TGTCATAGTGCCCAGAAAACATATTTGTGAAAACAAGACGAACCTGTACTTGAGATTCCAAGTCTCCCTTCTGTGTCAGAGCCTTAGTTAGTCGCTCTTCCACGTCTCCAGAAGACGACCTCTCAGCTTCAAGCTGCATGAAGAGGTCATTCTTCTCCTGGAGAACCTTTACATTCTGAGTCTCCAGTTCTTTTCGTAGCTTCTCCTCCTTCTCCAAAGCTTCATTCGCTGCCTTTAACTTCTCTTCTAAGGCCCGAAGTTCATCCTCTACCCTGGCAATGCTCAGCAGAGGCTTGACCTATAGAATCGAGATGACCAGACTGACCTACACCGTCGAGACTATTACACAAACTTTTTTGTATGGACAAAAACTGAAATATGTTTAAATTAATAACCTACTTAATTCAAGAGTTTCGATAGTTTCAATAAGTTATATATGAATAGAAAAACAGTGTTTGATTCTCTGATAATGAAGGTTTAAAAGCATCACTTTGAATTAGTTATATTTCAAAATCTCTTCCACACAATTTAACCGACAAAGAATTCTCTTGACATTTTACTAAAATATAGGGTATTATTAAATAAATATGTGTTGCTGGGATCCGGTTTTGGCTCCCTCAGTTTTTAATTTCACGAATTATGTAGTCAAGAACGTTTTCTAAATGAACACACCTTGGAATACAGTTTCCACCATAACCAGTTTCTAAGCTGCAAGAACTTTCGAAGATTCCTCTGTATAATGAGTAGAGCAACCCTGAAAATCAAATAAGGTGTCTTTTAGTACCAGAAATAGTCTCACTGCAACAAATGGAATATTCCATTCCAAGCCAATTGATGTAATACCTTAGAATATCACTGCAGCTAATGGAATATTCCATTCCAAGCCACTTGATGTAATACCTTAGAATATCATTGCAACAAATGGAATATTCCATTCCAAGCCAATGGAATATTCCATTTGTTGCAGTGATATTCTAAGGTATTACATCAAATCCTAATCGTGTATAGAGATTTACAGCACTTTAGATCGTGTATATACAATTATTCTCTGTTAACCTCAGGTGTAAGTTTTTCTAGTGTTACAATGGTAGGTGTTTTGCTAACCTCAGGTGTAAGTTTTTCTAGTGTTACAATGGTAGATGTTTTGCTAACCTCAGGTGTAAGTTTTTCTGGTGTTACAATGGTAGGTGTTTTGCTAACCTCAGGTGTAAGTTTTTTCTGGTGTTACAATGGTAGGTGTTTTGCTAACCTCAGGTGTAAGTTTTTCTGATGTTACAATGGTAGGTGTTTTGCTAACCTCAGGTGTAAGTTTTTCTAGTGTTACAATGGTAGGTGTTTTGCTAACCTCAGGTGTAAGTTTTTCTGATGTTACAATGGTAGGTATTTTTCCGCGCCGGTGTTTTGGGACGACTAGAAGAAATGCGAGATGAACGTTTGAGCAAGATTATCACTTGGCTCCAAAGCTGGATCAGATGGTACACGTGCAAGAAGGCTTTCAAGAAACTTCAAGAACAGAGGTAATTGTCTATTCTGTAACTTTTGTTTTCTTTATTCCACAATCGTAGAAAGACTTTAGGGTAAAGAATAAATACTTTATATTCTCACGTGCACTGATGATGAAGAACTGATGACACTGTCCACCAGAAGACTACCAAATTGACAAAGGGCGCTTACTCACAATTCTATGGGTGATATTTTAAGGTATTACATCAAGTGGCTTGGAATGGAATACTCCATTAGTTCCAATGATATTCTAAGGTATTACATCAAGTGGCTTGGAATGGAATATTCCATTTGTTACAGTGATATTCTAAGGTATTACATCAAGTGGCTTGGAATGGAATATTCCATTAGCTGCAGTGATATTCTAAGGTATTACATCAAGTGGCTTGGAATGGAATATTCCTTTTGTTGCAGTGATGTTCTAAGGTATTACTTCAATTGGCTTGGAATGGAATATTCCATTTGTTACAGTGATATTCTAAGGTATTACATCAAGTGGCTTGGAATGGAATATTCCATTAGCTGCAGTGATATTCTAAGTTATTACATAAAGTGGCTTGGAATGGAATATTCCATTTGTTACAGTGATATTCTAAGGTATTACATCAAGTGGCTTGGAATGGAATATTCCATTTGTTACAGTGATATTCTAAGGTATTACATAAAGTGGCTTGGAACTAAAGTGTTGTAACTCTACACACGATTAGGATCTAAAGTGTTGTCAATCTGTATACACGATTAGGATCTAAAGTGTTGTAACTCTACACACGATTAGGATCTAAAGTGTTGTAACTCTACACACGATTAGGATCTAAAGTGTTGTAACTCTACACACGATTAGGATCTAAAGTATTGTGACTCTACACACGATTAAGAGCTAAAGTGTTGTAACTCTACACACGATTAAGATCTAAAGTGTTGTAACTCTACACACGATTAAGAT